GGCGTTGAACTCAATATTTAGTCCAGAAGGCTGTAAAGTGCCTAGTTTTCAAGATGAGATGTTGTTCCTCCTGGTTGCTGTGACTGTTTAGACCCTTGGAAAGTGAGCAGAGAGGAGGTGAAAGGGCAGGAGTTGCACCTTCTGTGGTTACATGGGAAGGTGCAGTGGGGAGGGAGGGAGGGCGTGGTGTTGCTGGTTGTGGAATGAACTGGGATGTCCTGGAGGGAATGTAGACAAGGGGAGTGAGGGGGAAGATGTACTTGGTGGTAGTGTTCTTCTGGAGTTGTCTGAAATGGTGGAGAATAATCCTTTGAATGCGGAGGCTGGTGGGATGAAAAGTGAGGATAAGGGAACCCGATCACACTGTTGTGAGTGATGGGAAGGGGCAAGGGTGGAAGCACGGGTGATTGGTCAAATGTGATTGCCCTGTCAATCACAGTGGGTGGGAAACCACAGTCGTGGATGAGGCAAGCCATGTCAGCAGCGCTGTTTTGGAATGTGGCATCGTCCGAACAGATGCGACATAGGCGAAGGACTGGGAGAATTGGATGGAGTCCTTGCAGGATGTGGGGTGTGATGAGCTGTAGTGAAGGTAGCTATGGGAGACAGTGGCTTTTTAGTGGATGGCAGTGGACAGCTTATTCCCCGAAATGGAGATAGAGACATCAAGGAAAGGAAGTGTCAGAAATTGCAGCTGGCCTCAGTATTTCCAAGGTACAGATCACTGACATATGCCGATGTACAAGTTAACAGGATTGACCAGGCTCAGGCTAATGGTGGTGGTTTGTGCAATCTTGTGGTTTGTCAGAATTTAGAAATGAAAGAAAGACAGAAATTGGAGAATCAGCAGGAATGGCAGCATCTGGGGAGAGAAAGCAGAGTTAATATTTCAAGTACAGTGACCTTTCTTTAGAAAGGAATTGCTATTTTTGTTTTGGATCTTCAGCCTCTGCAGTTCCTTGCTTTATGAATGAAAGATCTTGAATTTACATTGCATCCTCACGAACAAATTACTTTCTTGCCAATTATGTACTTTGTGATGTACAGTGATTTGAAAAATTAATTCAGATTGTGCGTTTTACTGACTGGGCCAGCATTTGTAGTCTATCCCTAGTTGCTCTTGAGAAAGTGGTTTTGAACCACTTCAGTGAATTTGGTGTAGGTATAACCAAAATGCCGTCAAGGAGGTAATTCCATGATTTTGACCCAGTGACAGTGAAGGAAGAGTCTCACATTTTGAAGTCTAGATAAGTGAATGCCTTGGATGGGAACTTGTAGGTAGTTGAGTTCCCCTGTATCTGCTGCCCTTGTCCTTCTAGATGCTGTTGGTTGTGCATTTGGGAGGTGCTAACTAAAGTCTGCATGGTGAATAAAGTTTTCAAGGTTTGTAGCTCGGGTTGTGGATGAGGTTGTTGACATGCTCGCCAATTCGGTGGGCTCGGTTGCAAATGTTTCATCATCCACTAGATAACATCGTCAGTGCACCTCAGTGAAGCGTTAGTGTTCTGTCCCCCTTGTTATTTATCTTCCTCGGTTTGCTGGGGTGGTTGGTATCACTTCCAGTTCTGTTTCTCAGTGGTTTATATACAGGGTCTAATTCAATGTGTTTGTTGATGGAGTTCCTGTTGGAATACCAGGCCTCCAGGAATTCCTTGGCATGTCCCTGTTTGGTTTGTGCAATTATGGGTGTGTTGACCCAGTCGAATTTGCGTCCCTCGTTGTCTGTATGTAATGAGACAACTGAGAATTGGTCGTGTCTCTTGGTGGCTGCTTGGTGTTCGTGTATCCGTACATGAATATGTATTGTGAATTTTCTTTCAGTTTGGCCTACGTAGTGTTTCTCACAGTCCTTGCATGGTATTTTGTATATTACCCTAGTTTTGCTAGTTTTGGGTACGGGATCCTTTACTTTCATCAGTAGCTGTCGTAGGGTAGGGGCTTGTCAATTCATGGGCTACTCTGATACCTAGAGGTCTGAGCAGTCTTGTGGTTATCTCTGAAATGTCCTTACATATGACAGGGTGATTAGTGAGTCTGGTCGTGTTGTGCTTTCCTGTTGTGGTCTGTCGCAGATACTGGTGGATTGTGCTTTTTGTGTATCCATTCATTCTGAAGATTCCGTTTAGGTGCTCCTGTTCTGCTTTGCATGGTTCTGGGCTGCTGCAATGTGTTGTGGCTTGTTTAAATAGCGCCCTGATGCAGCTCCGTTTGTGGGCATTGGGGTGGTTGCTGGTGTAATTGAGTATCTGGTCCTCTCGTGTGGTTCTTCTATGTACAATAATCTGGAGTTCCCTGTTGTGTTTGTGTTCTACCATTATGTCCAAGACGAGTAGTCAGTGGTGTTCTCTTCTTTTGTGAATTTTATCCCGGTGAGGATGTTGTTTATGTGTCAGCGGGATTCTTCTAGTTTTGTGCATTTGATAATCACCAAAGGCGTCTACATATCGGACCCAAAGTCCTGTTGCAGCTTCGTTTGTGGACATTGGCATGGTTGCTAGTGTAATTGAGTATCTGGTCTGAATGTGACATCTTTCTATATTTGCTAGTCTGGAGTTCCCCATTGTTTTGTGTTCTATCATTATGTCCAGGAAGGGTGGTCGGTTGTTGTTTTCTTCTTGCGTGAATTATATTCCAGTAAGAATGTTGTCTATGCTTCGGTGGGCTTCTTCTAGTTTTGTGCACTTGATAATCACAAAGGTGTCATCTACATATCGGACCCAAATTTTGGGTTGTATAGTGGGGAGCGCTGTCTGTTCTAACCTTTGCGTTACTGCTTCTGCAATCAGTCCTGATATTGAGGACCCCATTGGTGTTCCGTCGATTTGTTTGTATATGCTGTTATTGAAAGTGAAGTGGCTTGCGAGGCGTAGACCTAGTAGTTGCACGGTGGTGTCCTTATTGATGTTGTTGGTGTCCTGGGTTGCCTGCCTACTTAGTTCGTCCAGCAGTGCGGCAATTGTCTCTTTGGCTAGGTCAATGTTTATAGATGTAAATAGTGCTGTTACATCAAAGGATATCATCATCTCATCCTCTTCTATCCTGGTGTCCTTGATGATGTTGAGGAATTCTTGGGCGGAGTGGACGGTGTGGGTAGTGTTGTCCACTAAGTATTTTAATTTCTGCTGTAGTTCTTTGGCAAGTCTATATGTTGATGCGTCTGGCAGTGGGACAATGGGTCTGAGGGGGATCCACAGTTTCTGCACCTTGGGGAGTCTGCAGAAGTGGGGCGTGTTGGATCCCTTTGGCTTCATTTTTTGGTAGTCTGTCTTGCTTATGTCTCCCAAGTTGTGTAATTTCTTCAGGGAAACTTAGTCTCCGACTCAATGTGTTTCACGCCCAGCATAGCTGTTCAAACTGTCTACAATTTGTCAGAAGAGTCTACGAGCTGCCCTTTCCTCCTTAAATGAAAATTCAACCAGTACCTCCTTCATCTGGTTGAACGTTATCAAACACCATTTTCTCCAAATGGATGGGAAACACATAGGTGTTCTTGCAATGCCTTCTTTTTTTGGGAGTTTAAAAAATTTGTGTGATGTAATGAGCTGCTTGCAGGATTAGCATTTATAATCCATCCCTAACATGCTTGAGATGGCAGCGGCAAGTTGCATCCTTAAACTGCTACAGCCCATATGGTTTACGTACACTCATGGTCTGGTAGGACCAGGATTTTGATCCATAGCATTAAGGAAGTGACATTGTTCCAATTCAGGATTAGCATGTCACTTTGGGAGGAATTTCAAGTGTTGGAAGGAAAGACATCAAAAAAGCAGTTGAAGACAGTGGAGCAAAAACAGAGTTTCTGGAATTTAGCTTGTGTTTGGATCAAAGCTTTAATGATGTCTAAAGTCAAATACCACACACACCACATGTGTGAATATTGATGACCTGAGCACTTTCAGAAGGGGGAGGTCACCTGTACAAAGACAGACGAGAAGGAAATCCCTACCTGAGAGTCATACAAGCTGTCATTGGATATATTCAAGACTAAGACACATATCTGTGAACTAGTGAAGTCCACTGTTGCAGAAAAGAAACAAGAAAAAAAAGCGTGGAGGTCAGTAGCAAATCAGCCATAATCTTACTGAATGGCTCGCAACACAATGCAGCTTCTTCCCACTAGATATTTCATCATTTAATCTCTCCTGTCTTCCATCCTATCAGAGCTTCTTTTTCATTCCCTCCTTACACTGCCTGTGAATGCATGTGGAACTTGTTACAACCCAACTTTTAACAGTTCTGATGAAAAGTCAGAACTTCATTTTAGATAGATTTGCAGCATCAGCAAGATTTTGCTTTTGACAGATTATAAAGTGCTCCACTCATCTCAAAAGGTATGGTTCTGCAATGCCACATTCAATTAAAACACATTACAGATTATATAATTGCTGTTGCCATTTTATAGCTTCTGTCAGATTCAAAAGAAAGGTGCTCAGCTTTGCTCTAAATTAAGATTTATTATTTTGTGAGAATTCAATTCTTCAACTGTTTAACAGGATCAATTAACGATTAGAACATTTTCTCCAGCAATAACAATCAGAATATATTAAACCAGACGGCTCAGACATGCCTGGCAACAAAGTATCAAAATTATAAAAAAATCCTCATAGCTGTTTCCTAATGAGACGGTTAAGCCAATTAGAGACTGTATTCTGAGGTAATTCAGAGCTGTAGTGGCAAGACAACTGCTCTGTCAAGTTGTACAGTTCACTTCCCACTGTCATGCCTACCTGGAAGGTTCCCAATTCAGGGTTTGGATTACTTGAGCTAGTTTTAAACAAATCAATAGATCCTCTATTGGGAAGCATCTTACATTTAAATTTCCCAGCAACTTCAAGATCAAATTCTGTAACACCTGCTTCAAACACAACTGATTTGTGGTGTGTGGGGTTGGGGAGGAAAGAGAAGGAAGAGAAGAAATGAAACGAAACAAGCATATATTAAGAATACCAGTTAGGGACAACTGGTTTCTTAGTTGCAACAAGTTAACCACCAATTTTAAGTTCAGTTTTACACAGTTTATTATTGCTACTAGAGAATCAAACCACAGGGTAATTGCAAGAATTGTTTAATGAATTACTGAACCACAGCAAGAATCAACAAGCTGTAGAGACACCAAGTATGGGTATAGTGTTCAAAATCACTATGTTGGCACTTCAGTTTGTAGAACACAAAACTCTCCAGATGACAACTGTTTTAGTTAATAGTAAAACAAACTTGCAAACTACACTTTCCAAAGAATGATAATCCTAGTTTCATCTCACTGGAAAAAAGTGCCTTTACATTTGTAAATATGCCACAAGCAGATGTTTTTCACCACTTGCATAGTTCTAACGTACAAGGTCACTTGCATAAACATTAAGCTCCATGTACTGGTACACTGACTGCAAAGAAAATTACCTAGGAAAAGGAACACTTAGTTAAATGTCTACTTTTACATTGATACAATTCTGAAAAAAATTACAATTTGAACAGAACAAAGAAATTATCTTCCACTTAGTAGGTAGTTGCAAGGTAGTACGCTCTCTCGCAATTTGTAAATGGCCCATATATGTCGACTACAAGTGTTAATTCAAAATCTTCTTCAGACTTTATTTGAATCTTCATGCGTGGGACATGGTGGAAAAACAGAGTTTCAAGGTGTAAGGATATGGGCCATCTAAAAATAAAAAAAAAAACTTGGCTTAATGTCACAAAAACTATCAAGTTCATTAAACACTGAAAACAAGTTAAAACATACTTTAATAGCATTACCAAGTTAAAAAAAAATCTGTAGAATATCCTGCTATTAATTTGCAATTTGGTACCAGAATTAATTTGCTATTTGTTAATTATAACGCATGTTGAAAAATCCTCAATCCATAGGTGTTATGCAAGATAAATTTCCAGCTGGCAAATCTTATGATAAATAACTTCAGCACATCAGCTACTGCACCCACTGTGTGGGCATACCCCAATCAAAAAGCAATCCTATTTTTGATTAGAAAAGAAAGCCATTTGAATTTGTGTAGGCATAGCTATTTGACAACACTGACCCATTATCAGAACTTTTCTTTTAAAAAAAGTCATTTTAATTTCATTTCAATCCATTACCATCTTTGACAAAATTGTCAGCTGAATGGGGCCGTTCACAGCTGCACTACCAGAAATCCCTATAATGTACAATTAAATCAGTCCAGAAAGCTGCTTTAATCAATAAATCAATAAGACACACAGGCCCAGATGTACAATCAAATATCCCCAACATATGAATCTGTTTGACAAAACTTTTGTTCAAGTCTAAAGTGAAATAATTTCTGTCTGATAGACATTCTTAGTGATAACATGGTAATGAATCTGATTATTAGTCATATTATTTGTTATCCTCCAAGGTACCTCAAGTACTGCTGAAAATCGATCCTTTCTGCTCTCCTTGTTGATGCAGCACTCTTCTATTCTAAAATATGTGAAGTCATGTATGGTGATTTACCCCAATTAACTCTAAAATATTTGGGTTTTTGGCCCTTTCCTATTGATGTCACGAGTTGCATTTTTTCCCCTCTCTCAAGGGGGTTAACCTTCAACCAAGCTAATGCTTACCAATCTCCTATTTCCCATACAAACAGTATGACAGATGTATTTAAATCTCAAGTCATAAATGCTACAAATCTATTAATTTGTACTACATAGAAAAAAGATGTATGGAAATAAATGTCTTATTTGAATGCACACACACCACGTTTATTGCAGCAGACATTTTTTTGCTGGTCTTCTCAATTTAAAAGATATGATTGAGCTGCACTGAGTTGCTGGGAGAATTATCAACCTCACCATACCACTATGCGATTCTAAATAAAAGATGAAAAATGCTGAATAGGTCAGGCAGCATCAGCTTCTGTAGAGAGAAATGCAGCGAGAATTAATGTTTCAGGTTCTGACAAAAGGCCACTCACCCGAAACATTATTTTTTTTCCCCTACTTCCAGAATTTTTCCAACATTTTCTGTATTCAGATTTCAAGTATGTGCAGTACTTAACTACTGTTTCAGATCGCAGCTACATCATGACACAAATGAGCATGGTTTATGGCTTCTTCGCCTTCCCCAAAGATTAAGGAAATAGTCAAAGTAATCACTGCTACCCATCCTGTAGGATTTGCACACAGTGAATTAAACAAGTTATAGCTCAAAGCAACAACAGGATAAAACTTCTCACTTATGTTGATGTGAGGAATGTAATCTCAACCGCAGCTGTATAGTTATTCCCTCAAGTTCCCCACAATAGCAACCAGATTGACAAATTTAAATTTACAACTGGACAAACACTCACATCCATTTCTAGCTTAGGCTCTGGGAGGTTAAGATAATCATTACCTATTACACAAATTGAACCTTTTAAGCTATCACCAACCCATTAATCACAGCACACTTACTGGTGTTTTTCATCTGGTAGTGATTCAGGACAGTTAGTGCTTCCACAGCATCGCTTTTCGTCTCCCATTCCAACAGGCCAGATAAACTCCTGTCAGCTAGAAAGTAGACAGATTGCCAAAAGTCATCTAGCAAGTAGACTCAGATTACTGTACGTTCAATTAAAAACAATACTAGAAAGAAACATTAGTGTGATGTCAACTCTGTCAGTAGTGACTGTTCACACTCAAACTTTGCCATACAGTGGACACAAGCTTATCCTCATGTTTTGCCTGTTGTAAAGCTACCCTATATGCAGGTTTAATAAACAAGGCTGAAGGCATTATATCAAAGCAGAATTCCCACAAGGTTTTTAAGAGTAGTTTTGTAGCTCGGGTTGTGGATGTTGTGGTTGGTTGGCTCGTCGATCTGGTTCATTGTTTTTCCGCAGATGTTTCATTACCCTGTTGGGAAACATCATCAGTGCAGCCTCCGATGAAGCGCTGTTGTGTTTTCCCGCCTGTTATTTGAACTCTAGAGTCCGTTGAGCTGGATTACCCCACTTCCAGTTTCCCTTCGTAATGGAGTATATATGGGGTCGAGCTCTGTGTTTGTTGACGGATTTCTTCCCACATACCAGCAAGTGCAGACAGACCCAACATCACAACGAGGCAACAAGATCTTCAACATGCTAAAAATAAGCAAACAGACCGGACAGACCAACAAAACAGAATTCTTAAGAATGAAACCTGAAGGAATTAACACCCCCGATTCTACGGTCTCCTGAAAGTATACAAACCGGAAGTACCCCTTAGATGCACAGTCTCCCTGCCAGGCACGACATCACATAGATGAACCAAGGAGACTAAAGCAGCTCGTCAACAAGTCACCCCACTCAATCCACTCAGCCCAAGAGTTCCTCAACTCCATCAAGGACATAAGAATAGATGACGACGAGACCATGGTATCGTTTGACATTACTACCCTATTCACATCAATAGACATACCACTAGCAAGAGAAACAATGACAGCACTACTAAAACAAGAACAAGACCCCAGTGACACCATCTCCACAGACAACATGCTGAAACTACTGGACCTATGCCTCACCACCCACTTCACCTTTAACGGTCAAATATACAAACAGATCAGTGGGACACCCATGGGATCACCCATCTCCGGACTAATAGCTGAAGCAGTGATGCAGAGACTTGAAAGTACGGCCCGTCCGCCAATCCAACCAAAACTATGGATACGCTACGTGGACAACACTTTTGTCATCATTAAACAGACCAAACTGTAGGAGACACACAAACTAATAAATAACACCCTCACTGGAATCAGATTCACCAAAGAGAAGAACAAACAGCTCCCATTCCTGAACGTGATGGTAGAGCACAGGGCAAATGGGGAATTCCTAACAAAGGTACTCAGGAAAGCCACACACACTGACCAAGTCCTGAATTCCAACAGCAACCACCCTAACACACAAACAAAATTGTGAGAGATCATTATTTAAACAGGCAACAACACAGTGCAACAGCACAGAGCTATGCCGAGAAGAAGAGCACCTCTTCCAGGTATTCGAAGATGATGGATACCTGAAAAACTAGGTCAGAAGATGCCCATTACACGAACGACACCAGGAAGATACTACACGCCCCGACACACTCATCATGCTACCTTACATCAGGAACACATCTGCACTGACTACAAGACTGCTACGACCACTGGGCATCAGAGTAGCACACAAACTCACATCAACCCTACGACAACTGCTCACCCAAACCAAAGACTCACTACCCACTATGGACAGGATCAACGTCATATACAAGATTCCCTGCAGAGGCTGTGACAAACATTACATCGGACAAACAGGAAGGAAACTAACAACAAGGGTTCACGAACATCAACTGGCTACAAAAAGACACGACCAATACTCACTCATCTCTTTCCACATGGATAAGGAGAACCACCAATTCGACTGGGACAAACAAAGCAGAGACAAAGCAGGAATTCCTAGAAGCCTGGTACTCCACAAAGAAAGCCATCAATAAACACAGAGCTCGACCCCATATACACTCCATTTTGAGGGGAAAACCAGAAGTGAGGTAATCCAGCTCAACTGACTCCAGAGTTCAAATAACAGGTAGGAAAACACTAAAGCGCTTCATCGGAGGCTGCACTGATGATGTTACCCAGCAGGGTACTGAAATGTCTGTGGAGAAACAACAAACCAGCTCCGTGAGCCAACCAACCACAAGAATTCCCAAACTTTTAAAAAAGACACCCATCCCAACTTTACCAACCTCCTTTTCACACTCTAATCTTGACATTCTCCCAGACCCCATACAGAAAAGAAAATCACCAAGCCCACTTCAACAGATTTGTCTGTCTCTACTTTGATTTGTGCTTAAGACTGGCTTTCTAAGCAGCAACCCTGAATGAACTTCAAGAGCCTACATCTCTCAGTGCACTAAGTCTCACCTAACCACTACCTCAATTGTTCAGCACTACAGTACACAGATTTTAAGTTCTAGTCTATGAAGCCTTGCCAGATCTAAAACCCCTGCCATGCACCTTTAGCTTACACCTCTCCACTGTCTAGTTTTAAAGATTGTGTTTTCCTTCCACCACGCTTGACATTTACACAAGTGTCAGGTATTGACCATCTCCAACAAGAGGGAATCTGATCACCTCCTGTAGAAGTGGCTGCTGTCACACAATCACCTTCTGGGGGTTCACCATACCTAGGTCAGCTGTGTGTGCACGTGCACATGTGGATATTTTCTCTCACACCACACACAGAGACATGAATATGTCACAGACTGCAAATTCTCCATTAAGTAACCCATCTCCTGACTTCTCAAAAGCCTGTCCACTAGCTAACATACACAGGGCTAGAATGTGATGCAACAATTTTCACTTGTCTGATCAAGTGCATCACCAAAACACCACCCAAGAAGCTCGACACCATCCAGAACAAAACAGCCCATGCACCCATCTAATACTTCCAACATTCACGCTGTTCATCATTGATGCAGTGGTGCATCAAGATGTGCTACGACAACTCACCTATAAAACGTTATTAACATCACCTTCTACATCTCCGTATCTGGAAGATAAGGACAAGGACAACAGATCCACATGTACATACCACCTGAAAGTTCTTCAAACGACACGTTCTTGACCTAAAACTAAATCTCCATTCCTTTACTGTGATGAACTTCTTTCCTAACAGCACTATGGGTGTACCTGCATCCCAGGGGCTTCAGTTGTTCAGGGAGGCTCCTCATCACTTTCAAAAGGTAATTAGACCAACAGCAGTAAGTGAACAAATGAAAAATTGCTAGCTATGGTAATTTTAACTTTACAATGTCAGGCATAAATTATGCAATAGCAAATCATAAAAAATCAAGTGTGGAGGACATTCCTCAGTGTACCGCCTGGCGTGCATATATTTCAGCTGACTCTGGAAAGGCCTGGGTAGCAAGGAAGCATTGCAAGTAGTAATTGCAGGAACTATGGGAAAGTGAGACTAAATCAGATTACTCTTCAAAATAAAGCTGACATAGATACAAATGGGTCAAATGGCTTCCTTCGGTGTTATATTATTCTAGGATTCTAAGGTATGATACATGTAAAATATAAAACAGACAAACTGAAGGTGTGATTTTTATAATTAGGGCTTCCCAAACAGTAGGCTGTCAACTCCAGTAGCTACCATGGAACTCCAACTGAATGCAAACAGCTGTGTGGCTCCTTTAAACCTGGCATTTTTAAACAGTAGGCCTGGCCTAACTGACTAATCCAGGAGACCGGAAATCTACCCATTGGAAAGGTAAGCACATTTTATTTAAAAAATTTTTCAGTTAAACAATTCTCCACCCTCTCACCTCTAGCCCTAGTCTTGACCCTCTATCTCAACGCTTTTCCCACTGTCACAGATCTCTCATACCCTCTGCCACATACTCTATCCGTCCCTGTCGCCACAGGCCTCTTACTCCTCCCCATTCAGTGTCACAAGCTGGAATCACTACAATTTTCAAGCAGCAAAGTGGGGTAACAATGAGAAATGTTTTGGGAAGCAATGGTGTAAATGCTGAGACTGAAAGTGATGAATAGCCGAAGCTAGATTTCGATTATTTGAAATGGAAATTGCATAAATAACATCTGTTTTGACAAGGTCTCACAATGCTCAAAGTGAATCTCATTCAAAGGCAAAGCATGATCAATTCTCAAATCATATGAAATGTTTATCCCATGTAAATTAAGTTTCCATAAAATAGCAGAGA